ATTGTACAAGTTTTACGCTCTTTTCAATACCCTAAGGTTATTTAAAACGAGGAACATCAACATTTAACGTCAATGTTTTACCGCACCAAGCCAAATAGACTTTGAGCCAAAAAAAAACACTCCAAAGCAACCAAAGTCCAGAACACCGGGTGTGTCCAGTAAAAACCTAGACCCCCCCCTACACCAAAAAATAAACAACAAAAAACAAAACAAAACGACAACAACAAAGGAAGTACAAACGAAAGAGGAAGTGACAGACACAATAAGGTCAACGGGCAGTTAATCTTTGTGTGCTCTGCTGTGTGACATTCCCCACTATGGTGAGATTCAACAAACATTACCACAGTAAAAAATATGCTCTGGTTTGGCTCCGAGTGGCCTTTAAGAGAGTTGGTTGAAAAAGAATTGTTGTCGTTGTTGTTATTGTTGTTGTTGTTGCTGTTGTTGTTGTTGCTTCTGCTGCTGTTTTTTTTTTTTTTTTTTTAGATGTATGCGTTTTACATCCCCATCGACACATATAAGATAATTTACGAAATAAGCTTTGATCCTGCCTTTCAAGGCCAATCTGGTTTTTTTATGCGGGAGATGGCGAGATGCTGAGAGGTTAACACTGTCTCAGAAGGAAGACGGAGATACTAGAAAAAAAACAACACTCCCACGATAGAATCGGACTTCTGAGTGCGACAGCAGAGTCTGACAGTGTCTGACAAAGTCTCTTATTATGACGGCGTACGCTGTGAGAGACATCTTCAGGACAAACCCATAATCATTTCGTCAGCCAGATTTTCAAATTATGTACTAGATCTAGCCCAAAATTGTTATTATATATTTATGGCAGTTTGTTAATCTGTTGTATTGATCGCATAATATGCTGAAGAAAATATTTTGTCGAAATTCAATTATTCAATGATGAAAAAAAAGGAAGAACAAATATTTAATGCAGGTACACTTGTGTAAAGAATGAAACAGGTTTTTTTTACCTCGCTTATGAACAATTTTGCTTTGTGGGCTTTAAAGATTGTTGACCTGCATGCTGAGGAAATTCCTAAAGGACTTCAACGTTAATTCCCTTGAAATGGGAGAGAGTCTAGCTCCTGACAGACCCAGCTGGAGAGCAGCGATCACAAAGCGCGACAAATCACACGAGGCTTCACGAATTAGAAACGCCGAAGCCAAGAGAGAGGCCAGCAAGCTGCGTACACCCACAAGTGGAAATGAAGCTTTTAGATGGAAATGAATCTTTTAGATGTTCAAAACGTGGCAAACTCTTCAAACTCGTCTCACCGGCCTATGCGGAAGCCACACATTATCATCTTAATCCTTATTTCTCGTTGTTGTTGTGGTTTTTTGTGTGGATATAATACAACATTCTAAAGAACTTCGTCACATAAAATAGTAAGCTTTGGTTTTTAAATGGATAAAGGTAAATTTCGATTTCCTATTCTTAAAACAAGTTGAAAGCGTCTTTCCGGGTATAAGATGACATTTTGAAGAGCTCCCCCCTCGCCCACCCCATCCTCCAAATCAAATAAATTACTCGAAAGCATCGTTCACCCACCACGTCATAGGATCCCAAACATGGCCACACAAAGAGCGGAGACCCCGGATGAGTGTAGAAGGTCAATTGAGTCTAAAATGGAGGGCTAAAGTTTACTTTTATAGCTACATAATGTAATCTGTATATGAGGCACAAGACGACATTCAAGAGAATTTAGCCACATTTATTTAAATAACGGTATTCATTGATTTTCAAAAGGGAAAATATTAAAATTCGACGCCAGCTCCATCGTCGCCCATTATTAAAATAAGCTGAAAGCGTCTTTCGCCCAAGATGTCACTGCAACCCACACGTGGCTCTTCAAAGAAAGAAACAATGCAAAACAAAACAAAAAAACAAAACAAAAACAGATGCAGATCCCAGATGTGATCAGAAGGTCAAGTAAGTTCTCAATGGAGGGCTACAGTTTACTGTTACAGTTTTATGATATGATCTGTACCGCTACGTGATATAATCTGCAAGCGAGCAACAAGACGCTATTCTGAAGAACGTAGCCACCTCTGACCACCTTTGATCATAATGACCTTTGACGACACTTCTACGCGCCTCGCTGGCTCTTACTAGTTATAATATTATTCCCCGACGGATTTCACACAATAGGAGATATGAGTTTTTTTTCATTTGTGTTTTAATGTACAGGTACTTATTTTTCACCTGTGTCATATATTGTTTCATTGGGAAATACTATAGGTTATACAGAATCTTATGAGCCACAAAAAGTATATTTTGAAAATTTTGTCATTTAGAATAAGGTTTGTGCACGGCTGCAACGATATGGACGTGAAAGAAAAGACACCGACTATAAAAAGTAAAACCAAACCGCGCTTCAAATTAACGCGAGGGAAAAATAACCAGCTTGAGTCTCATACGCTCATATTATGACCTAATGTAGCTGGAAGCGCTGTAAAACTCTTACCTAAACAAATGTAATGTAGGTGAGTGCTAGATTATTTGAGGTATTTGACCTGAGCAGGTCGAGGCGGGAGGGGACCTGGTCGGTCGATAGTAGTTGGCGCCTTCCTCCACTGTTTGACACGATCACGATCTAACTTGGGTAAACATCTCGGCCACATTGACTGGTGGACACGGGGGTCGGGGG